GAAAGTTCAAGGCTGTAAATTAAAATATAGGTTTGAAGGTTATAATTTCTAAATTAAAAAATATTTTGGTTTTCATGACAAGGACTGGTGCTAGTTTAATAAATCAAGTTTATCACTTTTTTAGCCCTTTGTGAATGTAAACAGGAGGTGGCCATTTTTTGGCCATGAACAAGCTGAGAGAGAGTTTTTCTTGTTATCTTTCACTGCACAAAAATGTAATGATGCATATATAATTGTTTTGAATGAAGGCTCAGAGGAGGTTGGAGATTGTTACCATCATGGGTTCATCCGATCAGAATGAGAATGAACAGTCATCAATCACAGGTTTCTCCTTTTATTTGAATAATCAGTAGGGAAAGACACACATGGACTGCTGACTCTCAAGGAAACAAAGTGTGATTTATGTCACTCCGGAACTCAAAATGATACATGAACTCAGGAGACTCAAACAGAAACTCACCTCAGCTGCCGCCCCACGTGGGAGTGAAGAAAGAGTGAGCTGTAGGTGAGTGCAGTCCTTATTTAACAGGTGACAGGTGAGCGCAATTATGGGCACGGACCACACCCAATCAAAGGTGAGAAAAAGAAACAAGGTGCAGTGAGTGTGCTGAAAGGTGAGTCTTTACAACAGTAATCATTAATACTGTTAATTATTGCTATACATTTAACAGCAATGATGGTTAGTAAATAAATCAGATTGCAAGTAATATTTGCAAAAAGAAAATAGGGATTTTATGGTTTTATCTCTTTGTAGATCATTACAATTATGTGATCTAACTGGTATTGAAAGGGTTACCAGGGTTCATTCAAGGGAACTTGAATGAAATTTTGGTTTTAAGGACCAGAACTGATTCTTATTTTAAAAAAAATCAAGTCAATGAAAGTAGAAAAATGTTTTAATATATTTGAATTTTATAGCATTTTGTGAATGTAAACAACAGGTTGGCCATTTTTAGCCACGAACAAGCCGAGTGGGAGTTTTTCTGTTTTTCTGTCACTGTGCAAAAATATAATAACGCATAAAAATCATTGATACTGTTAATTATTGATATAATTGTAGATGCAGTGACGGTTAAAAATAAATCAGATTGCATGTATTACTTGGAAGAAAAATGGGATTTTATGATTTTCTCTGTTTATGAATACTTACAAACGAACAAGCTGAGAGAAAGTTTGCTCTATTTCGCTTTCCCTGCACAAAAATAACAATAGAAAATAATCACTGTTGATGTTAATCGATTACACTTTGTCTTCCAACAAGTGCATTGTACAAACAAACTGGTGTTTCAAGGGATAAAAATGTAAAAAGTAATGGGTTTTTTATATTTATAAAAAAGAACTGATGTTAG